GCCTCAGGGCTGGAGGGGGGCGCAAGGTGGAAGTTTCGCCTAGGGCGTGAAACTTCCTTGCACCGGCCCTGAGTGTTGCCAATCTCAAATGTTCAAAAACCATGAATCAGGCTCACCAAAAATCATGAGATTGGTTTTTAAATCATTAGATTATTTAAAAATAACAGATTTGGGGTTCTTTTTATTTGCCTTCTGCTTTTAGAGCCTGGGGTCACATTTTGAATCTTTCTGCACAACCACAGGGACTAGAATTTCTTTTTCTTTAAGAATGAAGTCTGAAATAATCACATATCCACTTGACTCTAGGAGCTGGGGCTTTAAGGAAAACAATTATGAGACTCATGACAAAATCATGAGAGGTTTCAGAGTGGTAGCTGTGTTAGTCTGTATCAGCAAAAAGAACGAGGAGTAGTTGGTATGGCAACACCCATTTTTTCATGTTCTCTGTGTGTATATATATATATATATCTTCCTACTCTATTTTCCACTGTATGCATCTGATGAAGTGGGTTTTAGCCCAGGAAAGCTTATGCCCAAACAAATTTGTTAGTTTCTAAGGTGCCACAAGTACTCCAAAATCATGAGAGTTGGCAACACGGCTTTTACTTCTGTTTAAAGGCTAATTACTTTCCAGAAGGCTCTTCAACTCAATCGCTGTAGTGTTGTGTTTCAGTTCTCACAGGAGAATATTTAAAGCCAAACACCAAGAAAATTCTATATTTTAAAGTTGAGAAAAGAACTCAGACTTCTGAGGAATATCAGGGCCACTGCAGGCAGGAAAGGAAAATAAACAGGCACGGGAGCTCTGGGCAACTCTTCCTCTAGAAAGAAGGTTGGAGGGTCAAAGCTTCTAGTCCTTAATGTAGTAAAACCTCTATTGCCATCAGTTCCTCCATTCATAGATATAAACATCACCGTGAACATGTGATAACATGTGTGGTCAATAACTATACACTTCACACCTAAATATCTGAGCCATCTTATCCAGAGTTACACCGCTTATATGCACTGGCTTAGGGACTGGATTTTCTGGCATATTCTCAATAGTGCTGAGCACACAGATGGTGCACAGTGAATAATGCAAATCATGCCAATAATCATTGACTTTATGGACTCTGTGGATGCAGTTTCTGTTCTTTGTTCTGCAATTGGCCTGAATACAGCTGAAACCCTAAGAATTTGAGGCATAAACACATCTGATACTCATACAGCACTTTCTCATTCCTTCCTTTTCTCAAACTCAGAACAAAAAATGACTGAACAAAATGGTTTCCAGTTAAAATGTAAAATTACACAGCAGCCATTGCTGTTAGGGTGACCAGACGTCCCGGACAGTCCCGATTTTAGGGGACTCGTCCTGCGTCCCAACCTTACATTGGTCGGGACGCATCTTGTCCCGATATCGGGGGGACCGCGGCAAGCCGGCGCTGCCGGCACCACTCACCTCTTCCTCCTGGGCCCTGGGGCAGCGCCGGCGCAGCAGCGCCAGCCCGCCGGCCGGCAGGAGCCTGCAGAGTGCAGCCCTGCCCCAGGCACACAGTGGCGGCGAAAAGGTCTCTGCTCCGCTGCGTGCTGCAGCGGAGCGGGGCTTGTAGATGCCAGCAGCGGGCGGTGGGCAGAGAGCTCCCCCCGCCCCCCTCAACCCAACCCAACCCGCCCCGACCCGCGCGAGCGACGTGACCCTAGGAACCAGAGGCAGGGACCTGCCTGCTGGATGCTTCCTGGGAGCCGCTCCAGCAGGTAAGCACTGCTGGGACTCACCTGACCCCCTGGCAGGTCCCTCTGGGGGGACTCCTGGCCAAGCAGGTGTGAAACCTGGCGGCCAAAGGGGGGGACTCCCAGGGAGGGTTCGGGGCGAAGCTGTGGAGAAGGGAGCAGGGCGGGCTCGGGGAAGGGAGACCAGCACCAAGCCACTTGCCTTTCTCCCTGTCTGCACTGCAACAGATTTGGGTTTATCTTTATATTAAGGGGTAAATTCACATGCAAAATTTTCATTGAATTCAATAGGTGTTCCATGCATATAATGACACCTGGAGATGGCCCATAATTTACACACCGTTTTTTTGCTCTTCTCTGGACTTTCTCCACAATCTTTAACATATTTATCCTCACAACTCCCCTCTGAGGCAGGGAAGTGCTAATATCCCCATTTTACAGATAGCCTCTCTGTGCATCAGTTCCCTAAGGCCCAGATCCTCAAAGGTATTTAGGTGCTTAACTCCCATTAAAATCAATGGTAGTTAGGTGCTTATTTACCTTTGAGGATCTGAGCCTTAAGTGGCTTACCCAAGGTCTGTGATGGAGCAGGGAAGCTGGGTCTCCCAAGTCCTGTGCTAGCACCTTAACCACTGCACCCTCGTCTCTCTTTTATGTTTCATCCTAATCTCTGTCTCTCCATACTTTCATTGTCTGTCATTAATGTAATATTCTCCTAAACAAGACTGTAGTAGCGCAGTGCACTGAAGTAACTGCCACCTCTTTTTTTAACAACACACTCTCCGCTAATGATTTCTACAGGCGCCATGTCACTCTTCTCATCGAATGAAATGTTGCTCAGATTGATGAAAGGGCAACAGATATGTAATCTATTAATTTACAATACTTGGCTATGAAGGGCTAGATTGTGCCTTTATAACTCAGTCCTGAGTAGATACATAGAGCTGAAACACCCCTATGGGAGCTCAGCAAGGGATTTCACCATGGGGAGACACAATCCAACTGTGAACTTCCAGATAAGCCTGCTACCCCTAGTCCTGTGCTTAGCCTGCTCTAGTCCTCCTTCTTCTCTTCCTTTGAGGAGATTTATCTTCCTGGGGTGTGCACAGAGGGATCAGTCTCCGTGGTCCCTCAAATGCAGTGACTATGGCTGGCCATTGGCAGGGCTTCATTGGGGAAAGGTTTTGTGCCTCCACCAGCATCCCCCCACAAGGGCAAGTTGCAATCTGGTCTTAAGCAAAGCTGTTAATTGGACAAACTTGTGTTCAGTTACTGGTAATAGTTGAAGGCCTGATCCTGCAAATGCACATGTGAGTAACTTTACTCCTGTGAGTAGTCCCACTGAAAGTCAGTGGACCCACTCATGGTACTAAGCACTCTGCCCCTAGACTTTAGTCACTATAATGTCCTAAGTGGGCCATAAGCCTGAGCCTTCCAGAAAGGCACTCTAGGCTTTAGTGGCGAAAGGACTAGCTATTCTGTCTGGTTTTAGAACTAGAGGTCACCAAATTAAATGAATAGGCAGCAGGTTTAAAACAAACAAAAGGAAGTATTTCTTCACACAATCAATCTGTGGAACTCTTTGCCATAGGATGTTGTGAAGGTGAAGGCTAAAGAAAGGAAAGAATGAGACCAGCAGAATAAGGACAGTGCACTTCAAAAAAAGCAGACTTCAACAAACTCAGAATTTGTAGGGAAGAAAATGGGATGGGAGGAAATCTTAAGAGAAGTAGGAGTTCAGGAGAGCTGAGGGTTTCTCAAGGAGACACAATGGCAAACTATCCTGATGCACACAATGCACAGTCAACCTGTGGAACTCTTTGCCAGAGGATGTTGTGAAGGTCAAGACTATAACAGGGTTCAAAAAAGAACTAGATAAATTCATGCAGGATAGGTCCATCAATGGCTATTAGCCAGGATGGGCAGGGATGGTGTCTCTAGACTCTGTTTGCCAGAAGCTGGGAATGGGCAACAGGAGAAGGATCACTTGATGATTACCTGTTCTATTCATTCCCTCTGAAGTACCTGGCATTGGCCACTGTTGGAAGACAGGATACTGGGCTAGATGGACCTTTGGTCTGACCCAGTATGGTCATTCTTATGTTCTTTTCTCTGGCATAGCCCTGGTCTACATTTAAAATTTAGTTGGACTTAGATCTCTTAGAGGTGTGAATTTTTCACACCACATAGCGCTGTAATTAAGCCAACCTAGACCCTGGTGTAGACACGGCTAGGTCGACAGAAGAATTCTTCCAGTAACCTAGCTGCCACCACACTGGGAGGTGGTTTACTAGAGTGATGGAAAGCCCTCTTCCATTGATGTAGAAAGTGTCTACACTATGGTACTGCAGCAGCAGAGCTGCAGCTATGTAGCTGTAGCACCACTCCCGGCAGTGCTTACTTGAGGTGGCTCCCAGGAAGCGGCTGGCAGGTCCCTGAGGTAAGTGTCAGAGGCTGCATCCTCCTCTCCGGCAGAGTGTGTGCAGACCGATCCACCTTGCTCATGGCAGAGCCAAGGAAAGGAGGCACCTGCCTCTGCACATGCTGATTCTACACAGGGCAGGCTGGGGCTGAGCACTGCTAGGCTGCTGCCCAGCTCACTTACCCACATTAGCAAGCAGGGATTGCACCTGGCAGCATACATCTGCTTAATGTACAATCGGGACACCATTGTCCCGATATTCAGGTAAAATTTTGCATTCGGTAGCTTCCTAGGGCTCCCTCTCGCAGCTTCCTAGGGCCCCCTCTCATGGCTCTGTGCACCTGTGTCTGTCGTCATCCCCCCCGTCCCCCGTCCCCCGTCCCCCGTCCCCTCCGCTCGCCCAATGTGTCCTGATATTTCACTCTTGCGATCTGGTCACCCTAATTGCTGTACAACCCAGCATGGGGCAGAACTTGCCACCCCTTGGGAATTAAGTGATCTCTTCTCATCTGACTCTCATTCTCCATCCTTCCTGACCTCTGCGCTGCTTTACATGCTGTCAACCACAACATTCATCCCAACCTTCTGACCGTTTGCTGTAGTCTCAGAGAATTGGCCGCCTTGGTTTTGCTCCCATCTATCAGAGTCCTCTTTTTTTTGCAGTATATGAGGGGAGGGAGAGAGAGAGAGAGCGAGAGAGAGACTGGTCTCATCTGCTGGATAGGGAGCTAGTCCTGAAAGACCTAGGTTCTACTCCCCCCATGGACTTCCTGTTTGACCCCAGGCCAGTGCTTTAAGGACAGAATTTCAAAGATTTTTAGGCACCCTAAAGATGCAGCTAGATATCTAGTGGGGTTTACAAAGCACCAACCTTCTAAGTGCATTTGAAAATCTCACTAGGTGCCTAAATACCTTTGAAAATCTGGCTCTTAGTCTGTGTGTGCCTCCGTGCCCCATCTGTACAATGGGGATAACAGCACTGCTCTACCTCACCGAGGGGCTGGGAGGAGAAATAGGTTAGACATTGTGAGATGCAGCTTCAGATACTATGGTGATGGGGCCACATAAGTACCACAGGTAGAGTGGGAACTTCTCTATACACTGGTAGCCCTTCCCTGGGATTGACCCCTTCTTTTCACCTACGCCTCCAAATCTCCCCCTTTTCTGAATGCAACCTTGGCTCAGTGCATTGCTGTATTTTTTCTGAATCTCTCTCCTCCCCCCCCTTCTCTCTAAAACAACCCCTCCTACCTCTCCCCCCTCCAAGGAGGGATTCCTCTTTTACAGACTAAACTTCCATATCCTTAATTTAATCACCAGCCCTTTCTTATCTTAATCACTCTGCCTCTGTTTGTAAACAAAATACTGACTTCCTGCCCCAGGGGCACCGCTCCTCTGCAGAACTCACACTAATGCTGCAGATTTCACACTAATGCTGTGTGAGCTTCACCTGGGAGCTTGTATAACTGTATGAAACTCTGGGGGGGGGGCTCCAGCCCTCCCCTGCCTCCCCAATTGGTGACCCTGATTTCACACAGCACAGATTCCAATACAGCACCAGTAAATCATCAACCACTGAACACATCACTTACATTGGCAGCACAGGGAATGCGTCTGAAGGCCTGTATGGCAGCCAGGCGGATTTCAGTGGGGTTGCTTCTCAGGGATGCGCAAGAACTCAGGATAGGTGTTAGAGATGTTGCTGCCAGCCCTGCATTTCCAATTGCTTTTAACACTAGCTGCAGCTGAAAATACAAAGCAAGGCAAAATGGGAAACTGAGGTAATTGCTGCTAAAATCATTCCATCACCTGCACAAGATAGTTTATTACTTTTATATTATCACATTTTCTTTCAAAATAGTCTGCCTAAAACAGATCTCTGCTCACCATTTTATTGCCGCATGGAGAATTCTCAATCATGAACCACAAACATGAGCAGATCTTTAGAATGAACTGCAGAGAAAAATTGCTTGGACACAGGATGCAAAGATATCATTTCAGACAAATGGTTCAAACTGGAACGGGTACAGAGAAGGGCCACTAGGATGATCCGAGGAATGGAAAACCTTTCCTATGAAAGGAGACTCGAGGAGCTCGGTTTGTTTAGCCTAACCAAAAGAAGGCTGAGGGGGAATAGGATTGCTCTCTTTAAATATATCAAAAGGATAAATACCAGGGAGGGAGAGGAATTATTTCAGCTCAGTACTAATGTGGACACGAGAACAAATGGATATAAACTGGCCGTGGGGAAGTTTAGGCTTGAAATTAGATGAAGGTTTCTAACCGTCAGAGGGGTGAAATTTTGGAACAGCCTTCCGAGGGAAACGGTGGGGGCGAAAGACCTCTCTGGCTTCAAGATTAGGCTAGATAAGTTTATGGAGGGAATGGTTTGATGGGATAACGTGATTTTAGTTAATTAGGCAATAACGTGCCATCGCTGGTAAAATGAGGGTCCGGCTGGAGAATCTTGCCTGTATGCTTGGGGTTCTACTGATCGCCATATTTGGGGTCGGAAGGAATTTTCCTCCAGGGTAGATTGGCAGAGGCCCTGGAGGTTTTTCGCCTTCCTCCGCAGCATAGGGCAGGGGTCGCAAGCTGGAGGATTCTCTGCGACTTGAAGTCTTTAAATCACGATCTGGAGACTTCAACAGCTGAGTTAAGGGAAAGTGGGTGGGTCAGCTTTTGTGACCTGCATCATGCGGGAGGTCAGACTAGATGACCATATTGGTCCCTTCTGACCTTAAAGTCTATGAGTCTATGAGACTTCTGTATCATTGCTGTGTTCTTGCAAAATTTCAGAACAGCAAATACTGAGAGTGTCCTTGGAGATCGCCTGGAATCAATTGTTTAGATCAGAGAAGGTGATAGCAGAATATCTGCCAGGGGATCAGGCTGGATCACAACTCAAAAGATTTGCCGGCATAGCTACGTCAGTTCGGAATGTACAAAATTTGCACCCCTAAGTGCGATGTGCCAGCAAAAGCTAATGTAGTTACACTGGCAAAAGAGTCCATATGCTTATATCCAGGGGCGGTGCAAGGAAATTTCGCGCCCTAGGCGCCCTCTGGTGTTTGTCCTTCCCCAAGCACCAGCCGCCATGACTGGCTACCTTCCTCCTGACTTGAGAACTGCTCCTGGCTGCATGCATCTAGGGATGCCGGGGTGTCTTCCTCCTCCTCAACACCCTCGCTCCCGCTTTCTTCCTCCTCCTCCTCCTGCCTTGTTGAACTGGGCTCTGAAGTGTCCATGGTGGTCCTGGGAGTGGAGGTGGGGTCACCCCCAAGTATCGCGTCCAGCTCTTTGTAGAAACAGCAGGTCACGGGGGCAGCACCAGAGTGGCGGCTTGCCTCGCGGGCTTTCCAGTAGACATTCCGCAGTTCCTTCACTTTAACCCTGCATTGCAGGGCGTCCCGGTCATGGCCCCTTTCCATCATGTCCCTTGATATCTGCCCAAAGGTATCGTAATGCCTATGGCTGGAGCGCAGCTGGGACTGGACAGCTTCCTCCCCCAAACACTGATGAGATCCAGCACCTCGTCACTGCTCCATACTGGGGATCGCCTGGCGCGTGGAGGCATGGTCACCTGGAAAGATTCGCTGAGAGCACTCCACGCCTTGCTGAGCAAACAGGAAGGGGATTTTCAAAATTCCCAGCGAATTTAAAGGCGGGTCTGATGGTTGGTCACCTGAGGGCAGGGCAATAGAGTTCAAAGTGATGACCAGAGTGGCTAGAACAGGCATTGTGGGACACTTCTGGAGGCAAATCAGAGCGCATTAACAAACCAGGGCGTCCACACTGGCGCTGCGGTGCTCCAGCGGGGGCGCATCAAATGTTATTCCACTCACCGAGGTGGAGTACCAGGAGCGCTCTAGCCACGGAGTCCGGGCGCTCTACGTGCCTTGCCAGTGTGGACGTGTTGTGAGTTAGAGCGCACGAGGCTGCTTTAATGCACTCTAACTCGCAAGTGTAGCCATGCCCTTAGAGGGTTTGCCACTATAGGTCAATTGGCAAACCCTTCCTGGTGTAGACAAGATCGTACATACCCATAGTTTGCTCTTCTATAAACAATATAGCACTTTTTAAATGAAATTTGGTTTGGAACTGTGACGCTGCAAAAGTATCCAAAAGATACAGTGCATATTAATTTCAGTGTGAAGGCACAGACAATGGAACAAGTGGGGGAGGGGGGACAATTTTCAAATATATGAAAGCTATGTCTCAGTTTGATTATCTATAGATCAAAATGCTCCAGGGTAAAATGGTTAGTGGTAAAGGTTTGGGGTTCTGAATGCCATGGTTGATTAAGTCATTTACCACAATGTTACCACGGTCATTTCCTATACTAAGTATAGAGGAAACCGGAGGAATTTCAGAAACCAATGGACATAGTAACTGTTGGAAAATGATGACTTTTCAATAGCAAGCTCTATCCCTAGACTCCCTATACCCGTAAGTTCAACTCCTCATAGGCTGACCCACCTTGCATTGTTCTTAGCTAAACTGTGCTGTATATACACACACACACCGGTGTAGTTCAGGAGTAATTGCAGAGTTAAAATGTGTCAGAAACTGCTGTAACTGTGTGAGCTAAAGGAGACTCAGACCCTATTTAATGTAGGATGCTTATGATGAGGCTTGAGACATGAGATTCTTTCGATCGTGCATGGATATTAAAGATGACATGGCCATTTTAGTAGAACTGTCCTAAGCCAAAAATATCCTCTCCCCTGCACCCATTGCGCCATATTGTTGCTCAGCTGGTGCCTGGCCTGCCTCTCCTGAGGTGGCTGCATTTCAGTGGGTCTCAGAAATCAAGCCACTTTTATTTAGGTGCCTTGCTTTGTGTTTGAACATCTTGGCCAGATTCTGTACAGTCCTTTGGGATGCTTCAGGACTGTAAATGTAAATTATTATTTTCATGACAAGCTCATGCATGTAACATTAAGGAAAAAGCCCTTCCATTATTTGAATGGCCTTTTAAAAGAAACCCAGTTTTAGTCAGAAATGCATGTTGAAGAGATTAAGAGAAGTCTGGCTTACTCTCAGGAAATAGTTCCTAATGGTGAGAGCTATTAGACTGTGGAATAGTCCTCCAAGGGAAATGGTGGAAGCCCTATTGCCCGAGTTATTTAAAACCAGACTAGACACAGCACTAGAAGATACACAGTAGGGAGCAATTCTGCCTCTCCCTAGGAAAATGGACTCTGTAACCTCATACAACAGATTTTTCCTGCCTGTCTTTCCATCTGCCTTCTACGATTCTATTGCCCACAGGAGCAGTCAAAAAAGTTCAGGAATGACATTTTTATCTTAAAAACTCAATTGAAATTCCCATAAAATAAAACCTGGTGTTTAAATAACTGCTGTAACAGAACTGAGAGTGACAGATTGCTCAGATGATATGAAAGAAATAACTAAAACCAAGTGTGCTTTGCATATTGGGACCTTAAATTCTGGAAGGTGCAAAATACCTCGGCTAGCATAGCAGTTGGGGTCCTGCTACACTTACTAACTATCTGGTACACTGTCACTGTGGTCTCTAAGGGTGAGAAGGAAGGAGCTAACTGCTTATGAGGATGGTGAAACAGAAGGAAGATATTTCTTTAAAGGTGAAGTGCAGTTAAAATGAAGAATCCAGAAATATGGGCTGAATTGCTCCCAGTCCAACAGAGAAATCACACACAATCAACGAACACAATATCATTTCCCCTTTCCTTGGCAAGTCCTTCAACGTCATGCCAGTCAACTCCAGTCCTGCTGTGACTCCCCAGAGTGCACCATCCTATGATGTTACAGCTACCACTAACTGCATGAAGCCAATCAAAAGAAGGGACAGGTAAATTATTTCTCGTGTTATCTGTAGTTTTTAAAAGGTTTTTCATTTTATATCCAACAGCTTTTAAAATAATATGTTACAAATCAAATTTTAAAATCTGTAGAAAGGATTAAAAAAGATCCAACACACTTGTGCCTTTTTAGACAATTTTCTAAAAGGTTTTCTTGTCTGAATACCCACGAACATCCATGAAAGCAACTCTTTTCTGTCCAACAAGCCTCTTTTGGCCATATGTACTACCAAAGAATATAGCTGAAATGAGTAAAATAACATTTGCTTGTAGATTCAAAAGGTATCCAATATTTTCACTCCAGACTCCATTGCATGTCATTTTCATCGTACAGGTTCTTATTCTGATTGTGTCTAAAGGGAGAAAAAGGGAGGGATGGCTGTTTGAAACTTGTCTTCGGGGTTACTCCACGCTTGTCTAAATGACTGTTACCTGGCTGAGTCCTGATTCTTGCAAGGTGCAGTTTCCTCCCAAGTATCCTTCCAGAATACTTGTCACCATCTGTACTGCAGGCAGACGGTCACAGGCGCTGTTAGCTGAACAAAAGTGATGCACCAAAGCAGTTATTCCTAAGAAGACACTCTGACTTGCTCCTGGTGACTGCAGCAAAGGCTGTAAATCAAGACAAGAATGACAGGCTGCTTAAAAACTGTAAGCCTCCTATTTATTATAATACCCCAAGCACTCTGATGGCATGTACATCTTCACAGAGATTTACAAGCATTAATTAATTCATCCTTATACACTCTTATGAAGCCACAGAAAATAACTCCCACTTTCAAATACTGACTATTGTGTCTTTGAAAGGTTTTAATAAAAAAACATGCTGGGGAGACTCAGGGCATGTCTACACCCAGCCGCTAGTTCGGCGGCTGGGAATCGAAGTTCTGGGTTCGACTTATCGCGTCTTGTCTGGACGCGATAAGTCGAACCAGGAAGTGATCGCCGTCGACTGCGGTACTCCAGCTAGATGAGAGGAGTACCGCGGCGTCGACGGGAGAGCCTGCCTGCCGCGTGTGGACCGAGGTAAGTTCAAACTAAGGTACGTCGACTTCAGCTACGTTATTCACGTAGCTGAAGTTGCGTACCTTAGTTCGAATTGGGGGGTAAGTGTAGACCAAGCCTCAGAGGAAAACCCCAGATGATATGGAGAAAAATCTACCACTCTCATATGTTTAAGTGAAGACTGAATTAGTATGATCCTTAAGAGGACTCAAGGCCATTCTATAGTGAAATGCATTCCAAGACACTCCCAGTGCTTAGAACACTCACATTGTTTATGTTGCAAAATATACTACCTGTCCCCATAGGCTCTCCAAGTCAAGATTAAGCTATAGCAAATAGAAGCTTTTGATGCAAAGGTGCTGTACAGTGCATGGAGGAGATTAATACAAGTGGCCATTGTCCTCTCAACAGGGGAGTGCTTTAAATTAAGGATACCAGTGCAGTGAGAATGTAATTTAGATTGGCTATAACATTATCACCTACACTTTTATTGAGGTGTAGCAATAGTGCAGTATTTCACGAGTCACATTTTATATTAAGTTTCCACTGATAAATAGCTTATAAAAGATAATACAAGACTATAACAATTTATTAACCATTTATTAGTTTGTTATTGTGTCCAACAGGTTGTTTATAACCAGCAGCACCTACCACAATGGGGGTTCTGGTCTAGGACTAGGTGCTACAATAATACAAATAATAAATAAACAACCTAAAACACGTTAGATGGTTATATAAGCACATGCTAATTATGTCTGTAATATGCTTACAACACCTATAAATCATTTATTAGCCTTTTATAAAAGGAACCTAAATATAAAGTGTGACCCATATATCTTACAGGGCTTAATCCTGAAAACCACTACTCTAGTAATTCTATTGAATTCAGTGGGACCAGGACTAGTTGAGGCCAAAAGGATTGCAAGATTAGGCCTATGGTTATGCACAGTTTGCATCTGTTGTGACTTGTTTTCTTTTTACAGCACCCCCCTACTGAAATTTTCTCTTCCTGCCACTTTGGCAGCTGCTGTTTGTTTTTTATATGCAGCCAGCTCTGTAGGAGAGAGAGACACCATGAGTGCTCTCGTGTAGACCCTACTTTTGTTCTTTCTTGTAAAAGCAGTTATTATAAATAAATATGATAAATAAATGGTTGCTGTTTGTGTATACAAAATTGTAACAGGGCCCCTAGATGTGAATACATATAAATTAATGCCTGACAGAATGGTATGTTATTTTTCTCCTAGAAAACAACTGGAGTTTGCAGTTCAGCACAGACAATTTTAAAAAGTGCCCTCTAGTAGCAGGTCTCTGTTGCACTCACTGGCAATCAAGCAGTTTCTGATTGCTCTTTCTGTAATAAGAGATCAGCCAAGAACTTTTCAAACCTCTCCCAATTTAGCTTTCTAAATAGAAAGTTAAAAGTAGCAACATTGCAAACCCAGATCCAACCAGCACACTGAGAGCAGCTGTTAAGAATCCTGGGAGGAAAGGAGAGAAAGAGCAGCTGGGGAGAGTGGACAGAGGAAGAAGAAATGGAACAGGAAATGCATCTGGAGGGAGAAGAGCGGGGAGAAGGGCCAGAGGAAGCAAAAGACTGAAAAAAACTATAGCTGAGGGAGGGAGGGAGACTTTGCATAGAAAGTTATAGTCCTAGCATTCTAACGACACAAACAAATTCAGCCTCATCTCCTTATGAGGCCAGTGTGTAATGAATTTATGTGCATCTACCAGAGCTGTTCATTTTATGCACATCAGTCAATATTTTAACATACCATACAATAAATTTCACTATGAGCACTTGCATGAGTAAAGAGACACACATGTTTTCAGGAACAGAGCCCATGTGTTTATATGGGAACCTACTCTGAACTGTTTGCATTCCATAATCATTAACAGATTCTTTCCCAGTACACAAACTTGCCATGAATTGTAAACATTTCTCAACTACAGGCATTTTGGAGAAGAGGAGCACTGGAAGTTAAGTGGGTCCAAGGCACAAAATATGTTTCTATTTGTCCCATAAAGCTGTAGTCAAACCCCATATTTCCATACACCCTGAAGTAAACATGGTTTTGTTGAAAATCCCATAATTTAAGTGATGACCCAGAAGACTAAATGAGCTGGATATGAATTATCTCAACTAGGAATTCTGGAAAGCCTTCAAAGCTTTGGCAGCCGTCGCTTTATTATCCTGGCCTGTAATTGTTTGATAGGGAACAGCAAGTTGTGAGAATGATTCTTCATGAGTCTGACTAATCAGTGGGCCCTTTGCTGCCAAGCCAAATAGACCCATGCAGTTATTTTATTCTGTTTAAAAATAATTTGCAATTGCTGACTTTCCCTCAAAGTGATCTCAGGCTTTTCAAACACAGTAAGCTACAGAAGTAGCTATTAAGCTATCCCCACCTGAAATGGAACAGGACAACCTCAGGAAGAATGTACCAGGCCCAAGTGCTCACTCACTGGGCACAGATAAGTCAGAAAGTCACAATCCCCCTGCATAAACCCAGCAAGAAGATTCTGCTGTAAGTCAGGGCCGTTGCCTCCTGAACCATTAGGTTTCCCCACCCCATTAAAGGCAAGAAATAGAATTTCCCTCCTTCTTCCCTTCAATGGCTATGAGATACAACACACACACGGAGCCAGTTTCTAGGGTACCCCAACCAGGAGCAGCCTGTAATTTCTACACTTTGGTCTGATGCTGGCTGTGGGCAGAAGGATCCGTGCAACCTTTTCTTGTCTGCCTTCACATGCTCCATCTGGCCTTGATGTTGTTTTCTCACCAGAGTCTTTGGGATTCATTATAGCTGAAAACTGGAATAAGTCCAATGGGACTTTTGTGTACTGACTAAATGAGTCAGGAAAAAATGTCAACTAGCAAGAAATGTTAAGGGTATAACATGTCCCATTGCTTCCCTTCCTATGCCTGGTCCCCCGTTCACTCCAGAGGCTGTGGAAGAATGGCATTTTTCCACAGATAAGTTTGGGACATTTTGTACCTTGGTCCGAATTTGGTCTACTATGATTTGATCCAGCAGTCTTATTATTACCTTGTTTTCCAATCACTAAAAAAAAACAAATCACGAGTAATGAAACTAAGTGAGAATTGCCCAGTGTGCTGCAATAGCTCTCTCTCTCCTTTTTACAAACACCCACCCACCTCTATTCATGATCCCAGAGTAGAAATATTACAAGACAGGTTGCTCATTCCAGTCTGCACAGATGTAGGAAGTACTTGGAATCTTGCAAACACATTGCCAGTTTGCTCAATTTTTAGCTCAATCCTGAGCTCAATTTTGCATACCCAGGAAATTTGGATACTTCTTCAGAGAAGCACACAAACTGAACCAAATCCTTTGCGGCCCTCCCATCACTAAAAAAAAGCCCATTTACAGCAGTTTCAATAATAGCGTCCTGCAGAAAGTGAAGCCCAAAGAAGAGGGCACTGTGCAAATGTAAAAACCATAGAGCAGTAAAGCCCTTTAGGGTGTATGTAAAATTCCCTGTATCCTTTCCTCCAAATCTTGGAAAATGACACATGAAAGGTGACAAATGCCTTTCTGAGCTGAAATGCATGGCGTACATCATAATCCACAAAGGGACTGCATTACATATTACCTTAGGGGAAAACCACACTATAAAAATGTGAATACTCAGCACATATAATCAACTAACAAGTCAAAATCTGAAAAGCAGCTGTAGGCCTGGAATGTCTGTGGGTGTTAATTATAATACTCCTAAAAAGGTGCTGAATTAACAGCACTGGAGAATGAAGCCTCTATCCAAAAAACAGGGACAGCAGAACCTGTAATAGTATCAGCTTCCTCACACTGTCCTGCCTTTGAACCTCTACCTTGACCTGCAGAGAGCACCCTTGAAGGGCCAGTTCAGTCTCTTCCCTTCCATCTCTATGCTGCCCGTTCAAATCAAACCCCAGGAACTAAAGGCTGTTTGCACCCTCTGTTGGAGTCTTACATGAAATGAGCTGGTAGTTTCAGTCCACTCCCAGAACACATCACTAAAATCACCTCCAGAAGCAGAGTTTCATGTAAATCTGAGTGGGAGTGAGACTAATAGTCTAAATGGCAAGGCTAGGAATAAATATAATATATGCCTATCTCATAGAACTGGAAGGGACCCTGAAAGGTCATCAAGTCCAGCCCCCTTCCTTCACTAGCAGGACCAAGTGGTCCCCTCAAGGATTGAACTCACAAACCTGGATTTAACAGGCCAATGCTCAAACCACTGAGCTAACCCTCCCCCAGTTGGTTTTAATGATAAAATGAAAAACTGGTCTGCTCACAGCAAGAGAGTCGATCATGCCTGTGGTGGGCTCAGGAATGAATGACAATGACCAAAGGAAAGATTCCATTTTGTCCTCCTCCACTTCTTTTGCAACAATAATTTCTTTCATCAGGACAACACAGGCCTCTGTAGCACACGATGGGAGAGCATCTACTAGCGGCTGCCTGAAACACAACAGAAAAACGTCAAAACCTACATGAACTGAAGTACCTAAGAGTCAAAGAATATTTGCCTTCTGTCTTCCTGAGACTGAGGTTGCTTCAACGGAAATAAAAGCCCACTAAAACACTACGGGGCATATCCTGACCCTACAAAAGTCACTGGGAGGTTTGGCATGTATTTAAATGGGTGCAGCACTGTACCTCCTAGGCCAAGATTTTCAAATGTGACTAGTGAATCTGGGCATCCCAAGTTTTTGCGTCTCCTCAAGGGACTTGATTTTCAAGAAAGGACTCAGCGTCCCTCTCTCAAAAATAGATCCCTCTAAGATGTCTCAAATTGGGCACCTAAAGACTGAAATGTCTCAAATCTTAGTCATTTAAGTCTGCGGTTCAGAATTATGTCACTTGGGAAAACTGAAAAAAGACATTTGTATAGCAGAAGAAGAATGTCCACACAGGGAGCTATACTGGTGTAGCTATACTGGTATAATTGGTAAGAGTTTCCCATGTAGATAAAGCCTTAGACTGCTTTGGGCAGAAGATGACCAGCAGTTGTGATTTTTCTCTGAAGAATAATGTAGCTATTTGTCAGCATGAGAGAAATTAAGTGATTTAGGGTTTTTCTTATAACTAATGTAGAGTTAATGCCAATTTTTCATGTTTGTGTCAAGTGAAGCATGAACCATTGTTACAAATCCAGAGCAGCTGTACAGAAAATTTAGTCTAAGCTAGATAATATTTTGCCTGAAAGCACATTAAATGCCTGTTTCTATGCTTGCAGTTCTCAATATATTTACTTGTATTTGCTAGGAAAGCCCACATTGTTGGAAGGAGGAAGAAAAACAAGATTATAGGCCTGATCCCACTCTTACTGAAGTTGAGGGACAAACTAATTGACCACAATAGTGTAGGACTCAGCCTTATCAAAGATCCAAACCCTCAGATCTGAACCAGTCCCAATATCAGAGATGTTTGGACCTTGCTCTAAACATTGTGAGTGAGGCTCAACTCTAGATTTTATCAAGGAAATAATTTCCATCTAAAAGTTTCTTCAACCAAAACTGGGAAAGCATTTTCAACCACATTTTTGTGGACATTGGTTGAGGATTTTTTTAAGTCAGCTCTGGAAAGGCTAGAAAGGGATTTTTGACTTTCCGTGCATGCAGTCAGCATTGTTGGTGAAAGAACATTCCATTAGGAAGGATATAATTTTAGTGTTAAGTAAACTGGTTTGGATCAGTGAACAGACCAAAACTTTTGCAAAGAAAAAAAAAGAATCCAAAAGTTCTGTTCACTTCTAAAATTACTTTTCTTTTTCACCTTCCTCTGCTATTCTCATGGTATTTCTGGTAGGACTGAAGGGAGGAAGTGGCAGAAATCTCATAAGAAAACCTTTTTTTTATATAAGGTCTCTTCCAGACCAATTTTGCAGACTCAAAAGGTTTAATCATGTTGGGTTAAGCATCTATTTTGTACTTACCTTGAACTAGACCAAACCTCAGAATCTTTTAATGTGCCCACAACAATAATAATTTGACAATGTCCAAGGTTTCACCAAGGTAGGATTCTCCTTGCCCTGATTCCAACCAACACGTATGAATAATTTCCAGATCGTTTGATTTATACTAACTGAGGAGGAATAGCTGGACAAGATGCATAAAAATTGAAACAAAAATGATTTGTTTGGTCATGCAAAAATGCAGGGCCGGCTCTGGCTTTTTCGCCGCCCCAAGCACCAGCTTGGGTGCCTGGTGCCTGGAGCCGGCCCTGCAAAAATGTCAAGACTGAGCCAATGTTTTAGAAGCACACCACACAGAGAGAACTGAACAAAAATAGCTGGACTCCCAGTCTCTAGGGAAATCCTCATACACACACAGAAATAGCCCATCCTCCCCTCCACCAATCACGTTTCCTGACAATTGACACTGTTAATCTGGGAACAGACTACAGATGGATGTAAAACAAATTGAACACATCAGCTTTGGTGAACATCAATCAAGATTTGTTTCTCTAATGAAGCACATCAGGAGCAGCTGCCACTTTTAATTCATTCCACATTGGAAAGTTCATAACCTTCCCAGTGGGATTTTCCATATTTTTCCATTATGACCGGTGCCTAACAACATAAATCTTGATTTACATCCAGATGGTGGAAGCATGACCTGAGCTTCCCATTGGTATTGTTCCTGGAATGGCTGGAAAATTCTCTTTGCGAGGAAGTGGACAGAGAAGGCAACACTGAACACTGTGCTGGATCAATGACCAGCACTGACAGGGTGTTTCTAGTGGAAAAGGCTTTACACTGATACCATTAACAGTGGCCACTTTTATTATCAGCACTGGCATTAAATACCAAAACACATAAAATTGGGAACTGTAGAATATACACATAAAACACCCTTGAAACAGAAACAGAAAATCCTCTTCTATGTGCTCCCTCTTCCCATCCTATTTGAACTGTTTTCAATGGACTCATTTAGTGTATTTAATTCATTTGTATACACCCATTCCCTATAGACTTCTGGGCCAAATTCTTGCCTTCATTTACATTCATACAGCTGTGCTGACTTTGACTCTGTGGGCCTCAGCCTCTTTTAAACTCCGCTGGTGTAAGTCAGAATCAACACCACTAGAGGCAGTGGAGTTACACCAGTTTAATACTGATCAAGTTTGCAGATGACACAAAAATTGGGGGAGTGCTAAATAATGAAGAGGTCAGAGGTCACTGATTCAGAGTGAACTGGATCGCTTGGTAACCTGGGCGCAAGCAAACAATATGTGTTTTAATACAGCTAAGTGTAAATGTATTCATCTAGGAACAAAGAATGGAGGCCACGCTTACAGGATGGGGAACTCTACCCTGGGAAGCAGTGATTCTGAAGAAGATTTGCAGATTGTGGTAGATAATCAGCTGAACGTAAGCCCCCAGTGTGATGCTGTGGCTAAAAGGGCTAATGCGATCCTGGGATGCATGACAAGGGAATCTTGAGTAGGAGTAGAGAGATTATTTGATACTGTATTTGACACTGGTGCAAAATGCTGCTGAAATACTGTGTCCAGTTCTGGTGTCTACATTTCAAGAAGGATGTTAATATATTGGAGAGCATGAAGAGAAGAGCCATGAGAATGATTAAAGGATTAGAAAACATGCCTTATAGTGATGGACTCAAGGAGTTCAGTCTATCTAGCTTAACAAAGAGAAGGCTAAGGGATGACTTGATTAGTCTATAAGTACCCACCTAGGAAATAAATATTTAATAATGGACTCTGCAATCTGGCAGATAAAGGTAGAACACGATCCAGTGGCTGGAAGATGACACTAGACAAATTCAGACTGGAAATAAAGCATAAATTTTTAACAGTGAGAGTAATTAACCACTGAACAATTTACCCAGGGTCGTGGTGGATTCTCTATCACTGACCATTTTAAAATCAAGATTGGATGTTTTTCTAAAAGATCTGCTCTAGGAAGTTCTATGGCCTCTGTTATACAGGTCAGTTTAGATTATCACAATGGTCCCTTCTGGCCTTGGAAGAGAAGAGAATCAGACCTGCTAGGTGGCAAAATATAAGCAGGGGCTGTATAGTGTTCCACTCATAGGAGACACTACCATGTTTATCATTTATATTACAGCAGCATCTAAAGGCCCCAACAGAGATGGGGGCCCCATTGTTCAGGTCACTCCAAAAAACAAATTGTAAGAGACCTTCCCTGTCCCGAAGCACTTACAGTCTAAACAGACAAGTCACAAAGAATGGGAGAAAGGAAGCGTTGTTATCCCTGTTTTACAGATGGAGAACTGAGGCCCAGAGAGATCAAGGGACTTGACCAAGGAGTCCAGGGAGTCTGTAGAAAAGCTGGTCACAGAATCCAGATCTCCTGAATCCCAATCCAGCATCTTAACTACAAGACCGTTGATCCAGTCTCAAAGAACATCTCAAAACACATAACTGTGAACCCAAGGCAGGGCTTTGCCACTGGCGGTTTGAGAAACTTATTTCAAATATGAGCCAGCAGATTCCTTTCTTTTGGAGAGCTATGCAAGTCTTCTTGTGCACTTATCACTATATTCTGTCACAGAAATCACCTGGCTTTGTGAGAAGTGGGTCTTGGAATTGCTTGAAGACACTGATACATACCTTGGAAAGTTATCGAGATACATGCTTGAAGGGGAACATCATCTTTCTGTCATTGAAATGAGAGACCCACAGTAGAGCAGAGCAGAACGTAACAACTATTTTGGCGTAGGATCTGATCAAAATAAAGGTAAAGGAAATACATTTCTTTACCATAAAAGAATACAGCTGTTCACTGTTAAAGGGGTCTTACCAGTTGTCCCTGCATTTAAACGAAGATCTACGCCAAAGGCCTATTAAAGCATCAGCAGAAAGACTTCGAAGCTCAAACACCAGAGTCATGAAGAGGTCTGCAGTCTAGAAATAGAGGATAGTACAGGTTATATCAGGGATAGGCAACCTATGGCACGCGTGCCAAAGGCGGCATGCAAGCTGATTTTCAGTGGCACTCACACTGCCTGGGTCCTGGCCACCGGTCTGGGGGCCTCTGCATTACAATTTAATTTTAAATGAAGCTTCTTAAACATTTTAAAAACCTTATTTACTTTACATACAACAATAGTTTAGTTATATATTAAAGATATAGAAAGAGACCTTCTAAAAACGTTAAAATGTATTACTGGCACGCGAAACCTTAAATTGGAGTGAATAAATGAAGACTCGGCACACCACTTCTGAAAGCTTGCTGACCCCTGAGTTATATAATAGTTATAGGTTTCAGAGTAGCAGCCATTTTAGTCTGTATCCGCAAAAAGAACAGGAGTACTTGTGGCACCTTAGAGACTAACAAATTTATTAGAGCATAAGCTTTTGTGGGCTACAACCCACTTCTTCGGATGCATATAGAGTGAAACATTGTAGCCCACGAAAGCTTATGCTCTAATAAATTTGTTAGTCTCTAAGGTGCCACAAGTACTCCTGTTCTTTTTGATAATAGTTATAGAGGAAGCATGGGTCAGTGGATAGGTGCACTAGAGTAGGACTTGCTCAACCACTGAGCCTGCAGTGTAATCTTTGGCCACCCCTGTTCTGTGTTTCTGCCTCTCCTTTGGTCTGTCTTTTCTATTCAGATTGTAATCTCTTCAGGAAAGAGACTGTCTCTAACTGTCTGCACAGTCCCTATCACAGGGGTGGGCAAACTTTTTGGCCTGAGGGCCACATCGGGGTTCCGAAACTGTATGGAGGGCCAGGTAGGGAAGGCTGTGCCTCCCCAAACAGCCTGGCTCCCACCCCCTATCCACCCCCCTATCCACCCCCTCCCACTTCCCGCCCCCTGACTGCCCCCCTCAGAGCTCCCAAACCATCCAAACCCCCTGCTCCTTGTCCCCTGACCATCCCCTCCTGAAACCCCCCACCCCTAACCGCCCCCCCTGGGACCCCACCCCCTATCCAACCCCTCTGCTCCCTGTCCCCTGACTGCCCCGACCCCTATCCACACCCCCGCCCCCTGACAGGTCCCCCGGGACCTCCACGCCTATCCAACCCCCCTTGTTCCCCGCCCCCTGACTGCCCCCGCAGAACCTCCGCCCCATCCAACCGCCCCCTGCTCCCTGTCCCCTGACTGCCCCCCCAGGACCCACTGCCCCTTATCCAATCCCCCTGCTCCCCGCCCCTTTACTATGCCGCTCAGAGCACCAGGACTGGCAGCTGTGCCACCCAGCCGGAGCCAGCCACGCCACCATGTTGCCAGGCAGGAGCTCGCAGCCCCACCTCCCAGAGCACTAGTGGCACAGCGAGCTGAGACTGCAGGAGAGGGGTTGGGGGCTAGCCTCCCCGGCCAGGAGCTCAAGGACCAGGCAGGATGGTCCCCTGGGCCGGATATGGCCCACGGGCCGTAGTTTGCCCACCTCTGCCCTACCACAATGGGGTCCCAATCTTAGTTAGGTGCCTTAAGGCACTACCGCAATACAAATCAATGACAGTGTGACTGGGTATAATTTGGAGCAGGGACCATCTTTTTGTTCTGCATCTGAATGGCACTTGTTTGCTGTGTTCTTACATACGTTTTGGTTCCAGGATATTAGAGAGACAAGATGGGTGAGGTAATATCTTTTATTGGACAAATTTCTGTTGGTGGGAGAGACAAGCTTTCGAGCTACACAGAGCTCTTACACACAGCACCTACACCTCGCACACAGCACCCTGCACAATGGGGTGCTGCTGCATGACTGGGGTTCCTAGGCATTACCACAATACAAGCAACACAATAACAAAGTATAATATTATATGATGCGTAGCACTTATGCAAAACATCGTTTATCTTAGTGATTTATTAATGAGTTACGTCTCCCCTCTGTGAAGTAACGTACACAAAGCTGAGAGAATTTATTTCATGTCAATTTATTTAAAAACATGAAAATTTGGGCCTAAATTGAACAGTGCCTCTTTTAGTATTTAGTTCGTTGCCACATCAATGTACATGTAGCTGGAGGAAACTAATGCTGATTTGGAACTAAATCAAGTGTTCCAGTTCTAAGAAGGCACTGAAAAGCAGAGCGACTGTACTAGACTGTGCAAGTCCATGATGCACTGATAAAGAGTAAAGAGCTGCTCTTCCCAAACCCTTTTGGATGTACACTGCACTACTAGTGCTAATTTTCATTCTCTAAATCCTGATGTTGGAAAGATTAACTAAACAAGCAGATCTTTTGCAGTGGGCCAGTTTTTGCAGACTGCCATCTCTCCCAGGAATGGTCATAGTTAAAGCTCCGTGTTTGTCACGAAGGTCACGGATTCTGTGACTTTCCGAGACCTACTTGACTTCTGCAGCACTGGTGCGCCTGGCCCAGGGACAGGGCCGGCTCCAGCTTTTTTGCCGCCCCAAACAGTGAAGCGGGAAAAAAAAGAAAAAGAAAGCCTTGATCGGCGGCACTTCGGCGGCAGCTCTACTGCACCGCTTCATTCTTCGGCGGCGGGTCCTTCGCTCCGAGAGGGACTGAGGGACCCGCCGCCAAAGACCCGGACGTGCTGCCCCTTTCCATTTGCCGCCCCAAGCACCTGCTTTCTTCTCTGGTGCCTGGAGCCGGCCCTGCCCGGGGGCCACCTGAGCAGCTCAGGCAGCCCCTGGGCCAGGCACACTGGCCGCTGCTCAGGCAGTCTCGGGCGCCCCCACCCCTGAGCAGGAGTAGTTTGGGTGTAGGGGGCTCAGGGCTGAGGCCTAGGGCGGTGCTTACCTGGGGGGGGGGGCTCCCCGTAAGGGCAACAGCAACTCCCCTCCTTCAGCTCCTACCTCCACATGCTGCATTCGCCCGCAGGCACCGCCCCTGTAGCTCCCATTAGCTGCGGTTCCCAGCCAATGGGAGCTGAAGAACCAGGGCTTAGGGCGGAGCGGAGGCAGCACATGGAGCAAGGAGCTGGGTCGCCGCTTCCCAGGAACTGGGTAGGGAGCCTGCCCCAGCCCCACCACCCGCGTCACCCCCTTGGGCTGCAATGCCCCCCCCAGCACCCGCAGCGCCCCTGGGCTGTGACTCCCCTCCCCCCCAAGCACCCACGGTGCCCCCAGGACCACCCTCCTGAGCCATGCCACCCACCCACCCCCAAGTTTTAGTCAGGGTAAAAGTCATGGACAGGTCACGGGCCGTGAATTTTTGCTTACTGCCTGTGACCTGTCCATGACTTTTACTAAAAATACCCATAACTAAAACATAGCCTTAGTCATAGAATCTTGTATCTAATTATGGGCTTGTGTGTTGCTCGTCTGGCATCTATTTCTTGACCATAGTTTCTTTCCCCAGTCAGGTGCCTCCTTCAGAATGTGGCGAGTTCTACTCTTAAGACATTTTCCAGGTAAAGTTTTTGAGTCCTCTTCATGCCATGCTTACTCCTGATGAGACATATTTTGGAATCTACCTGCTTATCTTGGCCAATATTCAACTGTGATATTTTAAGATGGATACATTTGGAGAAAAGCAAATGTTTCTCTGTCGTTCTCATGGTCACTTGCAGAGCTTGTCAAATTTTCTTTTGATGGAACACTTTTCCATCAGAAAATACCATGTCTTCAAATCAAATCTTTCCAGGGGAACATCTCAATTTTGATTAAATTTAGTTTAGAAAAACATCTAAAAATTAAATTTCCTGCAAATTGGAAATTCTGGTTCCTGTACAGTTCTGGTCACTGATTTTTGTGTAGAGTTTTACTATGGAAACTCACAAGTGATTGATTGTCTCCTTTTTTAATGGAGGCCTTTTCCCTGAAACAAATAGCTGTGGTAGCTTCTCTTTTCATCTGGTTACCGGAGCTGGTCCCCCTTTTTTATATCAGTACCACTGTCACATACAAATGCTCCAAGCTAGAAATCACTAAAACAAATCCTCAAAGACTACACAACTGTGAAAGTAATGAAAACTGTGCATCAAGAAATCACATTAAACAAACATAGGTCTGTATTCTCCACATATTGCACACAGCTCACTTAATGTAAATAGAGTCATGCATGCTCAGCAAAGACAGTGTGCTTTTGATTTTTATACAGGAGTCTTATCTATCCAAACCCCAATTATCTGAAACTTCCTATTATCCACATACAGACTGTCCTCTGGTGGGAAGGGAATTACTTACCAAATAACACCCTATTTATTCCAAGTATTTTTGATCTCCTGTAGGATTAGGATGATATTTTATTACACCTGGAGACTTGTGTGTTTCTTTTAACATATCATACATTTTAAGGTGTCCAAGCTTTAGTTGGTGTTGCACTTTAATTGGATTAATTTAAATTATTCATTTCAGATTTGAAAGGCTGTAAAGTAAAAATATTATTCTTACCAAAAGACATCACTATGGGTCATATATATATATATATATATATACATATATATATATATATATATATACACACACACACACACACACACGAGAGAGAGAGAGAGAGCGCAAGCGCACGCGTGCGCATGGTTTAATTCTGCCAGATCACAGCTCCAAAGAACAGGGGGCAGACCTAATTTGGCTCCCTAACTTCTAGCTGTCCTGAAATTTCCTGTGATCCTGTACACTTGCAGTGGGTTTCTAAACAGAACTGCCTCCTCAGTAAACAGCCTGATCATTTACAGGTTTCTTACTATTTATGTGGAAAATGAGAGCTCCAAAACTGCTTCCAAGAGCAACGAGAACTTGGTATAATCCCGTGCCAGAATTAGATCTTCATTAAAGCCTGCCAGGAGGTTTTCATTAAAAAGAAGCTGGCACTATGTAAGTAGATGGAGTAATCTCTTACCATATCCATTTTTTTTAAAATACTTTCACAGATCCGTGTGTGTATTACTCTTTATGTTTTTGTTCTAATTGGACTTTGCTCAGCAATAGCACATTAATCTAACCAAAATAAAATACACCAAAAAAGAAAAGAACAAGATAA